ACCACTTACACACTTTATGCGATTTGTATATTCAATAATGTAACATCCTTCTTTTCTTTAAATAATTTATATTATTAAAATATATATATAAAAAAAATTGGTAATAATTTGTACACCTTTTTTTTTAAGATTCCTCTAGTTTGTATTTCTATTTCGAATGAATATAAATTTCTTTACGATCATTTTCTTTGTTTATTTCATCATGAGTGGTTAAATCTATAGTTAAGACTATAATAGACCACTTACACACTTTATGCGATTTGTATATTCAATAATGTAACATCCTTCTTTTCTTTAAATAATTTACATTATTAAATATATATATATATATATATATATATAATTGGTAATAATTTGTACAACTTTGCAGAAATGGTACAATATGGGAATACTGATTAATAAATTTAACAAATTTATAATATTTTTCAAATTCAAATTTGTCCATCAATAAAATAAAATACATCAAAAGATTTATATATCTATTACATTTAATTTAATTACATCTGAGCAGTTCCTTTTCCATAATCCTTGACGAGAATGACCCTAGAACGGATTAATCATCTGTATCTCCTTTCTTTCATTACCTGAAAAAAATCAGTAAGGGTGAGTATTTTCCATCCCACTAAGTCTCTTTTATTATAAATTATCTTAAAAGAACTAAATTTATTGCCTAATATCCTATTCAAATTCATTACCAATAGTGAACAACTCATATTACAACTTATTATATCCAAGCACATGCAATAAGACAACCTTCAATTAGAGCATATACAACAATTCACTTATTATACATACATTTCTATATTGACTTGTATGTTATTATACGTGTATCATTTCATTTCAATTAATATGTCACAATACATGTGTCATAGTCACACTCGTTGATATACTATAACACACATATCATAACAACATAAATCGATTTGCTACGATACATATATTATAATCATGCAATTTCTATAATATATCATATTCATCACATTTTCACATTTATTACACTTTCATATTCATTGCCTCTAGGATCCCTTGAGAACTTCATAGCATAGATAGCTGCTAGTTAGCTACAGCAACACAGATACACACGTGTGCCAGCCCGCCCCTTTTAGCAAAGGTGTAGTCAGGGTTTAGGTCAGGAAATGAGTGTGAAACTTGTGTTGTCTTTCTTTTCTATTTTCATTAATTCTTGCGCAATCATGGAAAGACATCCACCACTCTCATTTCTCCCAAATTTCTCAATCGTCCCCGTCTTCCACACCCTAGTGTATCTCTGTGATTATCTATACTTATTCTATTTCTCTTTCTCAACATTTCTCATTTCATTTTCATTCTTCTCTATACCCTTTTCATATATTAACGTGTCATAATACGTGAGTCTTAATTTCACAACTTAATATATTACAATACATGTACTATGAGTATACCTTTTGATGTACCACAATACCTACAACCATCAATCCATCTGACTCATGTATTACAATCACATCTCTCATAATTCCTTCATCATGTCATATTATTTACTTTTATACATAAAACTCTTTCTTCTTTTGAGAATAATATAACACTTTTCATCAATAACCTAATTTCATCCATTTCAACATACCTCAGTCATTAACAAACATTCATCTAGCACAAAAGATTCTCAAACAATTTCATACCACACAAATTAATACAATGTGTCGAAAGTCAGACACCTCCGGACTCAGCCCAATTGTATAATTCAACATACACATTTTCTCAGTAATAACAAAGTGGTCTATCCTAAAGTTTAATATCACTTGTTCATACATAAATAATAGTAAAATTTTAAAAAATTCTCCAAAAGCTTAGTTACTTATCTTTTCAAGTCTTATCTAAAGGATCTTTGAATTAAATTATTAGTTTCTTATACCCAAAATTTCATTTTTAGTAATACAATTTAAAGAATCATTAGGGTTCTATTATCCAAAACAAAATACCGAAGTTAGGGTTTGGGATCAACTCCCTTTACCTAAATGGATCTCAAAAATTATGTTCTTCGTGTGCTCTAAAGAGAAACTCTACGTCTCGATCTAAAATACTACCCAAGGACTAGAGTTATTTTTAATATCACAAGGTATATTTCTATTATGAAAAAGAGAAAAGAGAATTAGGAAGGAGATTCAAGGGATGAGCTCTAGAAACTTATTTAGATATGAGAAGAACGGATTTTTGAGCTCAAATCTGAAGGAGACCCAGAGTTATTGAAGGTTTTCTCTGAGAAGGGAGAATGAGAGAATGAAGAGGATGGAGATGGATACAGCGAGAGGACTCCAGAATGTTCCACTTTCACTGCCTTATTCTCGCTACAACGAGATATTCTACAGTTCACATCAATTAAACACTTCTAATTTCAAATAACATGCACCAATAACTAACATTAATCGCAATAATAATAAATTACGAAATGAGGATGTTACAAATAACAATTATGGTTTTTTACATTGATTTTTCTCTAGCATGTTTATATCTATATCTTTAGATTTGATTACTCTTAATTCATCATAATTGATTGCATTGTAGGCGACAGTACTATATGTAATTAATGAAATTGTAAGGTAAATGAGATGAATAATTAAGTTTACCAAATTTAGTTTTTCTTTTTTAATCAATTATTAAATTAATAAACTTATAGATTCTTTATGTTTTTTTCTATCTTTTAGCCTTGCATGACCATTATGAGTAATAATTTAGGAATAAAACTATAGGATAAAATGAGATAAAGAATTAAGTTTACTAAACCTAATTTTTCTCTTTCGATTAATTTTTAAATTAACAAACTTATAGGTTATTTATGTTTTCACTATCCTTTTGTCTTGCATGATCATTAGTAGTAAAAATTTAGGAAAAAAAAATTACTAGCAATGCATGATAATTAGGTGTTAATAGTTTTAACATGAGTGATTGACGATCATAAAAAAATTGAAATTATGATTAAACTAAAATTAAATTATAGTTTTTTTAAAAATATTTGTCATTTTACATTGATCAGCTAGCCTATCAAATTAGTTATAATAAACACTATCAATTTAATAAGCTAATTTTTCTGTTTTCATTTAGTTTTATTAGACACACCAGAAAACTTTTACGCTATCCACCACATGATAAGTATTAGTACTTTTATTTTATTCGAAATACATATACACAAAAGGACTTTTGATCCATAAACTAATACTATTCTGTCACCTGATGAAGATATAAAATAAGACTTCAAATGTTAGACCTGATTAGTACATCCATGTTATGTTGGTAAAAGGGAAAGGAACTACCGGCCAAGAATAAGTCTTATCACAAACATGAATAATGAATAGCTTTAAAGCGTGTGAAGAGCAAGCAAGAGATCGATAGATCCACAGTTGCAGCAAACGGGAAAAAGTATTAATTCTTCACTCAAAAGAACACTTCGAGTTGATCAATTAACTTTTGAAGGAACCTACTCAACATCACATAACAAGCAAAAGATAGTAAAATACCATATACCCACTTAAAATTAAAGAAAAGACATAGAAAAGGTGTAGGAAATGGAAAAGTATAGAATGTTGGAGAAAGAATACAATTCATTGCTTTAATTGGGTATACTATTGGAGTATAACTGAAGTCCTTTTTATATAACTTCTCATATAGTATAACAGAATGTAACAACTTATAATTATATGAAACTAATTAATTTGTACTCCTTTTACACTTTCATCCCCCGCAAGCTAGAGTAAGATGAACACAACACTATGAGTTTGAGTTTGAGTTTGGACCTGAAATTTAAAAACTTTGATATAGTAAAATGGCTTTAGGGAATCCATCGACTATTTGAAATGGAGCAGGAATGTGATGAATCGAAATCTCTCCAGCAACAGCCTTTTCTCTAACAAAGCATAAGTCCAATTCAAAATGTTTGGTTCTATTATGAAACAAAGGAATGGCTGCCAATTGGTGTAGATCCCTCTACGTCTCAGGTACTTTTGTCTTTTTGCTGTACTGTGTTACACAAATCGATGAAAACAGAAAATATATTTTTATTTTTATAAATAAATATAATATTGTTATTCTTAACGAAGGTTCTCCATTTATGGTCAGCACTTCATGTTCTAGTATTTTTCTAATTGAATTTCATATTTTGTACTGCTAGCTTGTTTTACCCGACAGACAATAATGTAATCTTTACTAATTATTTTGTTGTCTTACAAATGCTTTTAAAACATTTCATCCATGAATGTAATTAAATCGGTTTAAACCAGAAAGCCTCTGTCGATTTTTCAAAACTCGGTGAACTGGTAGTGTTAAAAAACCAGGCAAGTCATGCAAAATTGTAGATTGTTTAGCATTAAGAAAAAAGAAAGACCAGAAGAGAGTGTCCTTTTCATCAAGAGGCACGTAAGATGAAGATGCCCAGTATTTATAAATTTAGTTGCAATAACCACTGCAAACCATTTTCCACCGTTTATGTTGTGAGAGTGGTTGCAACGTAAAATAGAGTCATGGAGAGAAGAGAAGAGAACAAGAAGATAAAAAATGACGAAAAGAAAATAAGAACAAAGGTTCAAAACAAAGATTACGAGAAGAAGATGCTAAAAACAAACCCTGTCGAACCTTAACAAAAGTGTGGTATTCTGTTATTTAGATACTCGTGGAAAAGTTAAAAAATTATATATATTAAATGAACAAATTTTGAACAGTTGTAATTTTTAATTAAAAAATTTAGCTGATTTAATTAATAATTCATTGGTTGAACCGATATATACGATATCATTTTTAGTCAGAACTACACAACAATTGTACCTTGACGTGCAAGGTATATTTTATTAGATATTATCATTCCATTTACAAACACATCACCAACAATTAACTAACCATTTCACCTCACTTATTTCTTTCATTCTATCTATCATATCAAATCACATTACTTGTTACTTCTAGAAGTTTTTTTTATTCCAATATCAATCCAATTATAAATTTCTGAAATGTATCTATCAAAGATGTTCCTGAGGTCACTAAGTGGAATCCCTTGGGGATCCTGCTGGAAGCGCTAAGCTTTCCTCTCCTGTAGACACTTCCTCTATGTCCATATGATGAGAATGATTCACTCTTCCCTCCGTCGAAATTTCTTCATCCTCCTTATATTCTTCCCTGTAAGTATATCTTAAGGAGTAGTACAGAAAAAGGAGAAGGAAAATAATGTTTAATACTGCCAACATCAGAAAATACTGATCATACTTGTCAGTCTCAATTTTAAAAATTAAGACAAGTGGCAGGGTAACAAGTTTTCCAATACCAAACCCCAATTCACTAAAGGACTCCTCAAAAGTTCTCATAGATTCAGCTACATGTTCATTGAATAAAATCATTAACCCATCTTCAACAAGTCCCTCCGCTAGTCCCCACAGTATAAATTGTGGAAATAAGGTAATTGTAGTCATGGGAATAATTATATCTGGGTTTTGGAGTGCCCCCTTTTCATCTATCAATGACCATCTACGAACTTCCACCTTCCACGCTCTGAAGCAGCAAATTACTGCACAAACCAGGCCAATACTAATCCTTATAACTGTGGCTGCTTTTCTGTTAGAATTTTTCAAGTTTGGAAATGACAATCTGAGAAGAAAGCATATGAATTGTGAAAAATGAAGCGAAGCGGATTGGATCAAAAAGAGAACGGTGATATCACTATCATTTTTAAAACTGGATTGCAAGTATTTTGTTTGTGCTACAAAGAAAGTGTTGCCAGCAGCCACAAGTAAACTATAAGCAATGAATGTAAAATACCCCAAGCAGATCAAAGGAACAAGGCTCTTCACTTCCCTCACTTCCTTAACCACGCATAGCTCCCCTTTCTTTTCTTCTATCTGGGGTCTCACATCAACTTTAACTATAGCTGCTTTGTCCAACCACCTGAATAGGCGTGGAGTTTGAGGCGATAATCTTAGTTCATGACCATCACGATCAGGCAAATTTGGCTGCTTATAATTCTCCCAGTAATACCCATCCCATGATGTTGGATATGTCAATTTGCGTCTCCTCAAAGCTGTTCGGCACACTCTATATATCTTGTGTGCATTGCTTTCAAAACCAAAATTTTCATGCCTATACCATGGATATCCAAAGTAGAAGAACAGATAAGTCGCTCCCATCAGAAGTGCTCCAAATTGGAAGCTGCGCACATACACTTCGCCTCCATATTCATAGACAAATATAACGGTTATGATGTATCCAATTATCCGTGGAACGAACACCCAAATTGTAGTGAGAATTTTGTCACACACGTCGTTGGGTTCTGTGTTCTGTGCTCTTCCTTTTTTGGCTTTCTCTCGCAACTGATGTTCAAGAAAATCTTCTAAAAGCGTTTTGCCATTACCCCCTAACGCAAGAAGCACTATTGCTGCATAGACGATATACTTTGAGTGTGAAAATGAATCTGATGTCTCATTTACCCATAGTAGCATTAAACCCTGCAATTAGAATGAGATTTTTGGGTTTTTGTCAAGTGTTGATTGCAAGCTATGCATAATAAATCATCCATCAGGTTAAACAACAACAAATAATATTTTTTACTGAAAAAATATATTTACTATATGATTCATAAAATTATTATTATTATTATTATTATTATTATTATATATTTAAATTCAATCTTAAGAATCGAGCTTTACAAAACTGTTAAAATTATCACAATTTTAGTTTTTATAAAAAATTATTTAATTTTAGTCTTTAAAAGATACTTAAAAACACGTGGTACTAATCACTAATTAACAACAGGATAATAAAATTATATACTTTTTTGTTAAATGGAGGAATTAAAATAAAATAAATTGTGTTATTCTTAAGAACTAAAAAATTATTTAAGTCTAAATAGGAGAAAAAATGAATATTATATAATAAATAAATAATTTTATTAACATTAATCCTCCATCTTAATTATAAATTATTAAAAAACAATAAATTTTTTTGATTATAAATATTTCTGTACAACAAAATTTTACTATTTTAGTAACTTAAAATAACCTGTTACACTGACGTTACTAATTTACATAAATAAATAAGAATATACCATGACGGAAGCTGCAGCGCAAAATGTGATGGTACTGAAGGAACCCATATATGCTTCTGAGACTAAATAAAGAGCAACAGCAAAGAAAGATGACAAACCATCTTGCAGATTTGTAACAACAACAGCTACCCGTTGGTCATCCGCATCCTTCATTATGTCTGTGAGGTAATTCATCAAAATAGACACCACCGCATTTTTCATAAAGGTGTAGCTCACAATCAAACCTGAGAATATAACGAGTGAGTTAAGGGAAAGAAATTAATAAATAACACTATCAGTGGTTAAAGAGCAACACTAACTTTGGTCCAAGTTAAAATTTTGAGAAATGTAATATCTCTCCAATATTTATCTATTTCTACTGATCTCCTAATACTTAATTAAATAAAAACATACAAGTATTCAATGTGTTGAAATTATAAAATGTATGTGATTCTTTCTTTATTTGAAAAGTAACACACTTTATAAGACATTGCAGTGCCATAAATAACACTCGGATACATTCTTCAATTATTACCGCCGATGAAAGGTATAGACATAGAGAAGACGAATAGATTACGGAATGAAGCTACTGTTGACTTCAAATATTTCTTCATAGTTAATAAGGTGTTTGTTGCTGAACTGTTAAGTCCCATGATGCAGATTGATGTAAACAGAATGATAAACGAAAATAACTTGAAACTGTTTACTTATAGGAAGTACGAAGTAGGAAAATGGTCCATTTCGCATGCATGTGATGGTATAGAGTAAAGAAAGAGGAAAGAATACAAGAAAGGCCCGAACAAATTTTTCACAAATCATTCTCTTCTCATGATTTTCACACTTTGACGTATAAAGACAAAAATGTACCTGATGCGATGTATTTATCTTCTTATATTATAAGGTTTTAAAATGTCATTTAATATAATTTTTTTCATTAAATATATAAAGAGAAAGTTTCGCACCCGTGAGATTTAAGAGATTAATTTTCCTTTTTATTTTTAAAAATAAATGTTATTTTCATGTTTTTATAATTTAGAAAATATATTCTTTTAATATTCCATTTCATTATTTTTGTTTTCATGTTTATTTTTTTCTCTTTTGATTTAAATAATTTAAAACTCTACTTTTTTTTAATTCATTATTATTTCTCTTTTTTTTATAAAAAAAATGAAAGAATCTATAAAAATTTATAAAATATATTATACTTTTCATACATTTTTTAATTTATTTGGATAATTTTTTAATGCATCTTATTAAAATGATGTTATAACTTGTATACTCAAATAAATTTTATGATCAATTATAAACTTTCGTATGTTAAGAGTTTATTAAATAGGTGTTTATTAAACGTGTCAATCTAATACAACAATAAAGAAATATTATAGAATAGTTTTATATTTTTTTTAAAAATATATTAAAATACTCTAACAAGCAAATTATCTAAAGTGAATGTATTTAGAGAAATATTTATATAATCGTTCTCTAAATGTCACTTAGAAAATGATTTTTATAACCATTTTTCAAAGTATGAATCGTGAATTTGAAATTTAAAATTTATTCTTTCATGAACTTTTTTTTTATCACAAACTAGAATTAATTTGTTGTTATGTTTAAATTTAAATTTATATATATGAGATTCAATTTTTTTTTATTTGTGAGTTTTTTTATCACACATTAAAATTGATTCTTTATCTTATTGAAACTCAAGTTTGTATGTTATTTTAACAAAATAGCATAGGTAAGTAAAAAATCCAGATATGAAAGCCCAACTCATAATCAAGGCCTACTAGATTAAAAAAATCATATTTTTGAATGAACCAAATATCCACTCCACAAAAAAATAAAATCTGGATATGAATTAGATGTAATTTATTAAAACTGAATTTAAATTAGAAAAATAAGTTTTTTTCTTTCCTCAACTAAACCCTCAATGTCTAACCTCAATTATCTCGCAATAGTGATTTGTCACTCGCACCTCATATCACAATATCACAATAGTGATTTGCTCGCTCGTATTGCAGCCTTGCAGGTACATACATGCTTTTCCCCATCTCTTCAACGATTTTTCTAACATTTGGCAAATGTATATTAAGTTGCATCATGAAAAATGCATATTAACATTTCATACATATTGATTTTTTTTCAATGTTCATTACTTGTTAGACGATTCCTCTTTCAATGTTTATTAAAAGAAAAAAAATTAATCCTAATCCTAATCCTCTTTCAATCGCAAATCTAGTATTACTAGATTCATTGCATAGCCTTCACAAATTACAATATCTAAACATTAAGTTCCAAAACCTTATTTTACAATATATTTAGCAAAATGAAGCCATAGACTCACAGCCATTGGTAACTGCGATGGAACTAATATGTTCTTCAATACTCCATCCCTTGGAAACACAGATGTAATGTTCAACACTTCATCTCTTTGAGTAAAAATAAATTAAGAAACATCAATCCGTAGAATACCAAATACCTATAACTCTAGCTATTATAGATTTAAATCTACGTTTGAACAATCACCCAATTTAATTATTAATTCAATCAAATAATCTAATTGAAAAGAGTTACAAATTAAATCAAATAATCATTTAACCTAATCCCATTAATTACCAAATCAGAGCATCAATCAAGTTCTAATTTGAATTCTAATAACAGAAAAGTTAATCACAATTGCAATAAACAATTTTGATATTAGAGAGAAAAAGAGAACAAATTCGGAGCAATTTAGCACAAAACTCAAGTCAAATTACAACGTTTAAATTCCATTGATTGAACGAGAGATTTAGCCTTTCATTAAAGTATTTAACCCACGCAAGAATGAGAAAAAAACAAGAGAGTTCGAGAGAAAGTAAAAACAAAGATTTTTATTTTGACCAAGTCTCAAAATCGCAAAGTGATTAATCACCTCTCCTAAATCAGAACCTTATTAGTCTATTTATAAGCTCTGATTAGGAAAAACTAAATACCCAAAATTTGGGCCTTAATTATAACTACAAGCCCAAATACAATTATCTAATAACAAAGAGTTTAAATGCAATTTCACAATAATATTTAGCAAATTTGTCCCAACTTCAAAAAATCATAAAAAATTGAAATCAAATCCAAATCTAGCGATCCATATATGTATTTTGAAGCCCTGAATGTATAGAATCCAATACAACTAGAATCAGCCAAAAAGGATATTTATAGAAAAAGTTCTTGCCAAAAGAGTAGTCAGAGGTCAGAATTACAAAAAAATATAAAATTAAAGCATTTATTTGTAATAGGCCTAATTTATTCTAATAAGTAGAAAATGGTAAAATCTTTAAAAAAAATGTATATTAAAAATATTTACAAACTAAAATAAAACTATAAATATAAATCTAAAATATGTCACATCAACAATTCAATATGTAATATGGAAAAAGTTCTCGTTGATACATTATGGAAACTTTTCATATAAATGAAACCAGTTTTTGATTAAAAAATATCAGATTCAAAACTGTTTTCAACAAAAATTGGATTTAAAACTAGGTTTAAACCATATCTAAATTTTTAAAAAAAATTAAATCAATTTTAAAAAAATGAACTAGATTATTTTAAAATCCAATCCAATTAAATTGATTTAAAATAGATTTAGATTAATTTTATCCAAATCCAATCCATACTCACCTCTACCAAATAGTATGCATCTAAATGAATGAAATACCTGTAAACAAAAAACAAAACATCAAAATAACAAGAGATTTATTATTAATAAAAAGAGAAAAAGAAAGAAAGAGAAAATGAAGATAGATGGTGAGAAAAGGTACTTACAATTGTGAAGGGAGCAACTTTATTAGCATAGAGAAGTAGAGAAAATTAAAAAGATATTCATGGAGCTTATGTCTATATTTTAATATAAAAATTAAAATACAAAAATTATAAATGCAATTATGCTTATATTTTGTTTGTGTATTTAAATTCATGTTAAAAAGCTTTTAAACATGAATCAAATGTCGAAGTTACAACTAGTATTATTAAAATAAAAATTGATTTATAATTAATTAACATAAAACTGAATATACACTTTAAAACTTGTAATATGATAATTGCTATTGTGAATCTTTTGCACAATTTATGTAATTTTGTGGTTTAATGATAATTATAGTTTTCTTTTTAGATTGATTTGGCTCTAGTGTGTTTATATTTGTATATTTAGAATTGATCACTCTTAATATTTAATAATTGATTTTATTTTAAGCAACCATACCACATTTAATAGAATTATAAGTGTGGAAAGTAAGACAATCCAAAAACTCTACCAATGTTACAGAGGAACCTTTGTTAAGTGGTAGAACCAATTTAATGCTTCTCAAGGTCCTTAATTCTTGAAGGTAGCAGATCTAGATACATCTTTGTTTCTTAATCAAAAGGCCAACTAGCAACTTGTTACTCAAAGGAAATCCTTGCAAAAATTTTAAAGGATGTCTTTCAATTATTGCAAAAGGAAGAAGAAGCAAAATATTGTAAGAAAGACAATTGTTTGGGTATCAATTTGGATGAAGATTAATTCGTTTGACCTATACTATAGATAGATTTCCAGTAGGCATGACTTAGACTATAAAAACAGTACCTTTTAATTTCCTTTATAAGAAGGTCTCAATCAAGTTGTGAGATGCCTTTTCATTTATCCAACTTAGGAAAAGAAGCAAGCAAGAGAAGCTCTGCTATGAGAAAGTCTTGTAAGTTTTTCTTACTTTTGATAAAAATCTATTTTCTATATTATAATTTCTCCCTTCTCTCTCCAATTGGTTTAGTGTAAATTACCGCCATTCCAATTTTCTTTTGTATATCCCTCCACCGATCTTGAGCTAGTTATACTGCCTCTCTAGTTGTTTATGGTGAAAATTTGTATATTGTAAACAAATAAATTCAAGAGCAATCTGGGTATTGGATTTTAGGTTTTCTTAGATTTTTTTAAGTGTGTTGTTAACGTGATAATGAATGAGATGTCACAAAACAAATAACAGAGAATAAATAATAAGTAGATGATGATAAAATACTGAACGAAAAGTTTACATTAACGTACTGAATAAGACTAAAATTGCAAGAAGTAAACGTAAAATGATCTGAAAATAAAGAACATAAATGTAAATGTGCAAGAAAATAATGTACGACTCCTAGCAACAATGAACGCCAATAACTGTGAGTCTCTTGGTAGCTGGTGTCTGGCTCAGTGCAGGTTTTTAGCGTGCAGAGAGTTTGGTTGTTGTGTCTGGGTGTTAAAAAGTCGTCCCCGGTGATGTAAAGCTTTGTAGTATTTATAGGAAAATGAACCACCACCGTTCTCCTCTCTTCGCAGGTACTTCTTAGTAATTGTCTTTTACACGTGCTTGTTTTCAACTGTACTATCCATTATTCATGACTACTTCTGATCGTACTAACGATTGTAGCTTCTCCCATGATCTTTCTTCGTGTCTTGAAATTTTAATTGTTGGTAATTGCTGGTAATCACTAATAACCGCTTTGAGCCTTGTAATTCTGTTGATATTACTTTTTTAGCCCTATCATGTCTCTTGTCAGTCTTGTGGACTTATGATTTCTTATTTTTTGAGCAATTTTGAGGGAGATCTAGAAGCTCATTCAGTCTTGTAGACTTAAAGTAATATTTTCTTTAGTTTCTACTTTTCGACCAATTCAAGCAAATTGAGAGCTTATTCAGTTTTGTGGACTTAGAATAATTCTCTCATCAATTCCTATTTTTCGAGTAACTTTGAGGAAAGTTTGGGATTTCATTCAATTTTGTGGACTTAGAATATTTTCTTTGCCAGTTCCTATTTTTTTGACTAATTCTGGATGTCAGGGACTTGAAAATCCTCAAAAACTTCACGAAAGACTTTCAGTCTTGTGAACTTAGAATATTTTCCTTGTCAATCTTGTTTTTTGACCAGTTTTAGTTATTTTTAGTCTAGGAACTAGAAAATTCTCAGAAACTCCTCAAAAGGCTTTCAGTCTTGTGAATTTAGAATAATTTTCTTGTCAATGCTTTTTTTACTAGTTTTTGGTTATTTTCAATAGGGAATAGAAAATCCTCAAAAACTTCTTGAAAAGTAGATCCCCTAACAGGATTTTAGGACTTAAATAATTTTACAACCCCATGGTTTGTGAAAGTGTGGAAGCTTAGGATCCTCTAATGTTTTAGTCGAAAGTTATGTCCACACTATTGAACTTCGAGGTGTATTTCTCCTTGAAAGAACATAATTTATTTCCTACCACGAAAGTCTGGTAAGGAATTTTTTATAACTCAGAAAATTTTTCTTACTCCAAACACTAGTGTTATATGTTTTAACTTTTATTTTCTTTAACATTTTATTTAAATTTTAGCATACATTTTTGTATATTCATATTTTAATCTTTAGTAGTCCTATTAGTGCTTACCTCTCTCATTAACATTTACCTACACTTTTAAGTAACCAAAATTGAAGAGGATCTCTTTGCATTAACAAAAATTTTGCAGCATTTTTTTACATTTACAATTTTAGAGAATCTTTTTTCATTAAAAGAATTACAATAAAAGTAAATATTAGAAAGAGTAAATATTTACTTTAGTCCTTGAAATATGTAACGTCTTTAAAATCAATTCCTTAAATTTTAAATTTGAAATTTTAGTTCCTAAAATCAATAATCATTAATCACGTTAGTCCTCAACGTTAAGAGACAGTAAAATTGAGTAACAAAGTGATGATTTGTCATGTTAAGTGACACGTGACAGTCTATTTTCAACATAAAATGACATCGTTTTAGAATTTTTTAAAAATAAGTCATCTTCATTCCTGCTTTTTAAAATTTTTGGGCAATAAGATTCTCGTCTTATCTTTTTCTTTGTCTTCTTCCATGGCATATTCTTACCTAACATCAACCACCATTTTAATGGGTTCACATTGCAAAGCTCTTCTGTCTCAAATGTTCTCACCCAACCACTAGATCCTTGCATTGATCTTGAAGGTTTTGGTGAAGGTCTAAAATAGATTGGATAAGGAAAGAGACATAATACGAACTAGTTTTGTCAAAGTCAAAGGAGGTTTTGGCGCAGTGAAGACATTGGATTAGTTAAGGGAGTATGAGGTGTGGAGTGAGTTGACAAAAATGTTAGATTTGAAGGTAGGTCTGGCATTGGAAAGAGAGGGAGAGAGAGAGGAGGTTGAGGAATGAGGCTTGTGTTGGTGAGAACTTAAGTTTATTGGGTTGTGTTTAAGAGAAAAAAATATGAGATTTTGGACTAAACAAATGTAAGAACTGTGTAAAGAAAGAGGGAAAGTAAGGATATTGCAATGAAAGAAGGTGATACAAATGTCTTGGAAGAAGAAAACGCCATTGCATGTGGTACGAGAAAGAGATTGAAGACGTCATTGAAGAAGGTGAAGCAAAAAATGAGGTAGGGACCTTATTATCAAAATATTTTAAAAGTTAGACAAAAATGACCTATTTTTAAAATAACATAATTTTATTTTTAAAATAAACTCTCATATGTTACTTAACATGACACATCATGAATTTGTTACTTAATTTTTATGTCTCTTAATGATAATATTAATGTGACTAACAATCGTTCATTTTAAAAACTAAAATTTTAAATTTCAAATTTGGAGAATCAACTTTAATCAAATTGCATATTATAGAGACTAAAGTAAAATTTTATTTTATTAAAAATATTAACTTAATTATTAACAAATATAAGTATATCTTAGCCATAGATCCAAAAAGAGTATATAATATCCCTTTAAATTTATGGGTACAATAATAAATATCTAAATTAAAAATTTAAACCACAAAAAAAGTTGCTGACCCATTTCTATTGGTAAAACAGATAAATCGCAAACAAATGGTGGTATATTCAATGTAGTTTGCTCTCTTAACCATAGAAAAAACATCTCTACAAGCTTTCTCCATGGTTAAAATTGAAAACCTTCAGTATTTTTCTTTTTTTTACATTTACGATAACAACCGTTGGCAATCTTCCCTTTTGGTGCAGCGAGGCCAAGCTTGCCATGTACTTGTTTTAACCACGTTTTTACCTTTTATTTTTTGATAACGTTTTCATATCATTTTAATAATTCTTTACATATTTTATAAGAATATTTAATATACTTTGATCAAGACTTTATAAGTATAGATGTGAGATTAACCTCACACAAAGATTAATCGGTCATGTTCGATTGTTGTTGGCCATTGCTGCTCACCAAATTTTGATCGAACGAATTCATGTGAAACTCTGTATTACCGAAATTTAACACAAACCATTCCATTTTGCTTTTTGTTTTATTTCAGTTTGAGCGAGATTTGGTCGAGTTGACGGGATTTTTCGCTCAACCGTAAAAAACCATGCAGAGAATGTTGCAGAACATTTTAGAATCATTTTTAGTGCATCACTTTAATTTGCTTCATCATCGTGTTCCTTAAAGTTGCTTTTTCCTTGAAGGAAGTCGCCTTTTTCGGTGCCCACTTTCTACTGTTTCACCAAACCAAAGCCATTACAACGAGTTCATCTATGATTTGTATTCGTGTTAAGAGAATAATATCACCCCAAGAAGAGCACTATTTATTAGGTGATTTAGATTCACCACATGTTCATACGTGATAAAATTTATATTTTAATTAATATTATTAAGACAAAAAGAAATATTTTGCCACGAATTATATAGTAGTTAGCCGAAATTATGTACATGTCATAATCCCTGATTATCTAATAATTTCTCCCAAGAGAGGTTAATAGATTAAGAAAAATAAAATAAAATAAAAACAAAATAATAGCATACTCAATTACATCTTCTCATATATGCTCCGTGATGTTCCGGTGCACATTTTTTACCTGCAGTCAGAGGGAATGGGCATTTTAACCTGTTAAATTACCCAATTCTCTTAAAATTGACAATCAAAAGTGCACTTTCCAACGGTGACGGCAAGAGAATCGAATTTCTGAAGGCCCGCTATTGTCCTTGGTCGGCGTGTCACGACAATGCACAGTATCATGATACTCTTTTTCCGATTTTGCTTAGAAGTCACCACAACATTAATGAGAAAGTCCTAACCTTTGTCCCAAAGTCACGCAACAAATACCCTTCCACACACCATTACTCGTGATAGCATTAACTAGAGTTCTATTTTCCACATACCTTAATTCATCCTCCCTAAAAGCTTTAGATAGCGTCACATACCCTCATTGCAAGAGCACTTGTAGAGTTAAAGGGAAAATGGAGGGGAAAGAAGAGGATGTGAGAGTTGGAGCCAATAGGTATAGGGAGAGGCAACCAATAGGAACTGCTGCACAGGCACAAGATGCCAAAGACTACAAAGAGCCACCTTCAGCACCTCTCTTTGAGCCTGGTGAGTTATCATCATGGTCTTTCTACAGGGCTGGGATTGCAGAGTTTGTGGCCACGTTCTTGTTTCTTTACATCACTGTGTTAACCGTCATGGGTGTGGCCCAATCCAAGACCAAGTGTTCAACTGTGGGTGTTCAAGGCATCGCTTGGGCATTTGGTGGAATGATTTTTGCTCTTGTTTATTGCACTGCTGGCATCTCAGGTAAAATTCAGATCGTAATTAATACTATCTATTAGTAGTATTTTGTAATATCTTCTTATCGACCATCTTAATATTTTATAAACAGAGAAAAAAAAATGATATCTAACAAACTTTTCATTTGATGATTTTCCCATCCAATAACTTGGAATATGTTATATGATAATTTAGAATTCAAATCTATCCCTTCAATAAAGGAAAATGTTTTTTGTACCGTTAGAAGTAGACATTTTTAGGTACATTCATTTTTATTCTGAGTTTATACAGAAAAGATAAAAAAAAAATCAGTAAAAAATAAAAATAATGATATATGATGTCTAATTTTGACCAATTCAAATATCAAAACTATTAAATAAAATAGGTAACAAAGTCTTTGAATTTGAAAATTAACATTATATCATGAGAGTGATTCTCTCACATGTTAGAATCGTGAAAAAAAATATTCTATGTTTATTTCTCCCTTAATAAATATTAATAAGTAAATTGTTATCAAAATTTGTGAAACTGCATTGAGAAAGATAGAAACATGAAATTTTGGCACGATTACGTAATGTATGTGAACCTAACATGATGAAGCACATTTCCACATATTAGGAAAGGAATATGAGTTGTGATGTTTTTATAAATATATTGGACCAATGGAGTAATTATCTTCTTACAACTTTGCCTGATAGAGCTTGTGTGTGGATTTACTGATGCAGGGGGTCACATTAACCCAGCAGTGACATTTGGGTTATTCTTGGCACGCAAGCTCTCTATGACAAGGGCAATTTTTTACATAATTATGCAATGCTTGGGAGCTATCTGTGGGGCTGGGGTAGTTAAGGGGTTCCAACCCCACCAATATGAGAGGCTTGGTGGTGGTGCCAACACACTGAGTAAAGGGTACTCAAAAGGTGATGGCCTTGGAGCAGAGATTGTTGGCACATTTCTCCTTGTTTACACTGTTTTTTCTGCCACTGATGCCAAAAGAAATGCTAGAGACTCCCATGTTCCAGTAAGTAAAACTTCCCCCAATATGCATCCTTTCAATTTACGTAGTGACCTATATGTTGTGTTATTCTGATCATAAATCTAACTACAAACATCTCAATGGGTCAGATTTTGGCACCTTTGCCTATTGGTTTTGCTGTCTTTCTGGTGCACTTGGCTACAATTCCTATTACAGGGACTGGTATCAACCCTGCTAGAAGTCTCGGTGCAGCCCTTATATACAACAAGGACCAAGCTTGGGATGACCATGTGAGTCTTCTTCATCCTTAACTTTGTTTCGACATTTTCCTTTTCTTCATTGTTTCTTAATTTTACATGTATGAGTTAACAAAATAATCTGCTAACACATTCTTTAGAGGATATAATCATATTATTTTGTGAGTCATAAATAAATTAATATCATTCAATAATAAAATATTTAAAAGAATGTATACACTATACATTATAGGAGTCTGTCTATGTATAGTAAGCTTTTATTAAAAAAAGAAATAAGATATTACAAAATTTAATACATTAATAATATTAAATATAGTAATTTTAATAAAAATTACTATTTATTAATTTTTTTATTTTCTGCTCTTAATTACATGTTAGAAAAATGTTATTTATAATTGACTGTTAAGTGAAAAAAAAAGGCTAAACTTTCCCAAAATATATTATGTTGGTGCAGTGGATTTTTTGGGTCGGGCCTTTTATTGGGGCAGCACTTGCAGCTTTGTACCATCAGATAGTGATCCGGGCCATGCCCTTCAAGTCCAAGTGATGCCACATTGAAGTTGAAGCAATGCTTGGAAAGTAACAACTTGCTTGAGTCCAAGACAAAGATTCCCAATTCCCACGAAAACTATGTTCCTGTCTTATTAATTTATAAATAATTTATCTGTTAAAAACTTATGTACTGTGGACATGCAATGGAACTATTATGGAACGATGCTATTGTTTGTTAGGCTTTCTATATAAAAGCTTCCCCGCACTCAGCAGAAACTGCAGTTAGAAATTTGCCCGAGTATATATAAGTAAACTTTATAATTATATTATGATATTAAATAATCAAGAATATTTCGGATGGCTCAATTGAGGCAAATTTACAACAATCTTATATAATATGCTGAATGGATATTATTTTTTTAATATAGAAACGAAATGAATATATTTCAGAATCATTTAAAAGAATTACAAATAAATTGATCAATGGAATGTTGTCTAGAAACATGAAATATCCATAACTAAATTCAACCACATACGTACATTTGCCGATTGCTTCAATAGGTTTAATTAAGTTTTAGTTTTTATAAATATTATTATTTTGAAAATTAGTTCTTATAAAAAAGTTTGTTACTATTTAAGAATTAGTCTCTGTCAAAATTTAAATTCTAACAATTTTTAAACGACAAATTGACTTTTCTTTTTCTTTTATAAAATATTAAAGACTAAATATTAAAAAAAATTATTGAAACTAATTCAAACAGTAACAAGATTTATGAATACCAAAAATTTATTTAAACCAAAAATATTTTATTAATAATTAACATTACAAAAAAAAAAGTATTCATTTCAATCTCTTTTTTTAATTTATTTTACTTTGCTTTGGACAAAATTGAATGGGATTATATATAATTAGAAAGTAATGATGAGTTTTTTAAATCTCAGTAATTAAACTATTTTATTTTTAACATTTAAGACTAATAATTTAAGGATTTATTCCATAAAATATTATTGTTCATTTTCGAATTTATCAAGAGTTGGTTACAAAGTTTATTTTATTCTAACAAGCTACATATGTTGGATATGGAATTAATTCTCACTTGTTAATCGTACAGAGGCTATGGCAAAAGAATATTGGTATTTAGTGACTTGTGTCAGTCACAAAAGAATTCTCTATTAAGCTTGAAGAGTAATAAAAATAATATTTGTATTTAAAAATAGCATGGTCAAGAAAAACCCACCTTAATATGGGATTCAATGTAATCCCCGTCAGCATAAAGTGACTTAAAATAAACATTATGCATCTTTAAGGTTTTTCTTTATTTTTTCATCTCTCTATCCATTTTAGTTGCTTGTTTTGTTTGGATTTTTTTAATTTATGTCCACCACAAATGTTAAAGAGTTAAAAATATTTTTTACAAGAAATAAAAACATTTATTATCAAAAAATTATAAAAATTATTTAATACATATTTTATATGATAGTTTAAAGCATTTAATATAGTACATTTAATGCTTCTTAACATGTGTATTAGAGCACACATTTAAAAAAAATTTATTTTTCACACGTGGCTAGCATGTTTTGGATTTCAGTTTGTTGATTTATTAGATTTAAGTAATAAGTTTTCATCCTATAAAATTAAAGTGTTATATAAAAATAGTAAATAATTATTTTTAAAAAAAATTAAGAATTTTTTTAACTTATAATTTTATATTTTTTTCTAATATTGGTTCTAATTACAAGAAAGATTATAATATCTACACTAAAACAATATTATTAATGAGTAGAGATTAAATTCTGCAAAACTAACAGTTATTTTGCTTTAATATTTTTTTCATAAATATTAAATTTAACCAATTAAACCATTAAATTAAAAAGTATTCTGAAATAAATTAAATGTTTTTCCTAAGAGAAGAACTTTTGGATATACTGTTCATTCCTTTATTTTTATGGAAATGTAGTATCCATTAAAAATTATGTTTGTTCATAAAAACAATTTCTTGGGGCTCAACCCTAAAAATCATGCTGTTTTTTTCTAATAATATTTATTTTAATGTCCATATTTGTAGCTAGCCAAGTCCTTAAATATCCAAATCTCAGCATCTCAACGAAGTGGATGAAGGATTTTTAGTGTAGATAAGAGAGATGGCACATCTGAAGTATTTATTCTATTATTTTATCAATGTTATTTTATTGGATCCGCAAATATCCGAATCTCAGCCACATTACAAATCGTAATCCATTAATCAAAAGGTGATATAAAATATTTAATGATTTTTATTATAATTTTAATTGTAAAACTGTTCCTCGAGATTTTATTCATTATTTTGTAAAATTATAAAATCTACCATGCTCTAGAATTCAAGGGAGCATAATGTGCTCCTTAAGTGAACTAAAAAATTAGATATTTAAAGGTTTCTAAAAGTCTTATTTCTTCATCAATTTTTAATACACTTTATTTATTATTGTTAAATGGTTCGTTAATTTAAATTTAAAAATATTATACTAATACTTTTTTTAAAATTTTAAATTATTTTTTATTTTAAAATCTATTTTTATCTTCATTTACTTTATTTTCATTCCGATCATTATAACTGTACTTAAGGATTTCTTTTTAATTGTTTTTCTCTTTTTGTCATTTTGGAGTGATATAAAAATGCTCTTGTGAATTGTCTTAAAAACATGTAAGATAGAAAGAAAGGAATTTGACCCTAACAGCGCTTTGCTAGTGGAACCAATACTATCAAATTTAGTTCTTAACTCTAATAAAAATAAAACTTTTACAAGGGAGAAAACTCATATTTCTTTTCAAATTCAAACTACCTTAAATGTATTTCAAAGAATCTTATTTATAGGTTAAATCATTCACAAAGATTAAGTGAATTTTAAATACTTTTTACTGAAAACTAAATGCACTCCACTAAGAATAAAGTAGATTTTAAATGCCCTCCATTAAGAACTAAGTGATTCATTAAAAAATCCATTGTCCAAGTTAATGTCTTAGAAAACTTAAGGACAACTAAAAATTTGATTTGGAAATACAAAAGGTCAGCTAAAAATTCACCAATCAAATAAATACAAAAATTGTAGAATAGAAAAATTGGGCTTTTTTATTAACTAATCAAATAAATTATTTAATCCAAAAACTAATTAAACTCTGCCCACGAAAACATCTTTGATTATGTGAATTAGGCTCTCCAAATTGCTATATTTAAGTGGGGCTCAAAGTGTCATCATGAAGTTGTAAGAATGAAACCCATTTAGATGCAGCTTCTAACTCACTTAGATCTTCTTTTTCTTTGACCTCCATGGTTAGGCCTTGCAAAACTTACTTCATCCCTTTAGTCTTAACTCTAGTTATTGGACTTCCAATTCTTACTAAAAGGTCTTTTGGCGTGCTAGTTGCATCTGTATTATTTTTTCTCTCTTCAAAAAGATTTGCCTCAAATCAAACCCATCACTTACATCAAACAAGATAGATTAGTCACATTAAAGGTAACACTTACATTACAATATTACTTGGCAAATCTATTTTGCACTCATTTTTCACTTGCTTTGTATATTGGTCATTAATTTCTTTTTTTTTAAGGGGTTGGCTTAAACTCTTTTAATGTAGGTAGAGGCATGATATCCATAGGAGTCAAATGATTAATGTTATACATAACTTCTAAAGAAGAATAAGTAGTAGAATGAATTGTTCTATTATATGTAAACTCAACATGTTTATCTAATAATTTACTATAAATGTAGATATCATCAAAGTATACCATAACAAATTTTCAATGAAAGGTCACTAAACATGGTTCATTAATCTCATGAAAGTGTTAGGTGCATTAGTTAAGTCAAATAGCATCACTAACCATTTATATAAACCATATTTTGTTTTGAAAGTAGTTTTTCAATCATCATCATCTTTCATGCAAATTTGAATGTAACTACTCTTCAAATGAATTTTAAAAAACACACATAAACCACACAATTCATCAAACATATCATTCAATCTAGGGATATGATATCTATACTTTACAGTGATTTTATTTAAGGTTCGACAAACCACACACATGTGCCATGTCCCATCTTTGTTTGGAACCAAGATCACAAGAACATCACATAGACTACAACTTTCCCTCAAATTCTTTTTGCAGCAATTCATCCACCTACTTTTGGATCTCTTTTACTTCTTTCAAACTTGTCTTACATGATGGCATATTGGAAAATGAAGATTCAGGAAGAAACAACAAAACTAAGCAAAGAAGAAGTGAAATTGTTAGTAAAATACACATCATTGTACATAAGTACAAATAGCTTATCTCTTGCTAACAAAGCACTCTCAACTTCTTTTTTTCTTTGCAAAAGCACCCACTTTTTTTTATTTTTCTCTCAACTACACTCATTTTCATATTTTCTTTTCTTTCGCTTATTTTCACTTTTCTTTTCTCTCTTTTCTTTATTGTTCAGTTGTTCTTCTCTTAACTTATACTCTCTACCAATTCTCACTTGATCAAAATATGTTTCCATATGTTTGAGAGGTATTAAAACAATGGAGCAATTATTCATGGCAAGGGTATTATTATTTTTTGTCCATCGTCAGTTACTCTTCTATTAAATTAACACGAACGCTCAAGAAGCAAATGTCTAACATGCATAGGCGCACCATCACAAAGAGTTTCATCCTTATTTTTTCAATGAAAAATGATGCCAACACTTGTTTAGTCACCCTTATGTCCCCATAATCATTCAACCACTAAAATTTGTATGGATTAGGATGATTTATAGTTGGCAAGTTTAGTTTCTCAACTAACAACACAATAAGAAAATGTAACATCCCTATTTTATTATTTATTAATTTTGTATTTTGTATAAATTGTTGCTACATATTGTTTGAAATGAGGAGAATTTTAGGTGTGTGAGTTGTAGGATTTCTCGCTGTAACAAGAAATAAGTGTCCAAAATCAGGCTCTCTGATGCTTTCTCGCTGTAGCGAGGAGCTCCACTGTAGCTAGAATGACAGACAGCAAAAGGAAAAAAGTGTATGGTTTTTTCACTACAGCGAGAGGTATTTAAGGGTTTCCAAGTTGAGAAACTTGGATTATAATCTAAGTTATGACCCTTCTTCATTCTCTCTAACCATTTTCCTTATTTCCTCAAAAAATCCTTGAAAAGTCTAATCTTTCTTTGATTCAAGCTTGGGAGTTTATTCTCTTTGGTAAGTTTTTGAAGCTTAGTTTTCCATTCCTTTGGTTATTTTCTTGTTTTTCCTTTCTCTAAATGGAACATTCTGTGATATTTAGGAAGAACCTAGTATTTTGAGCAAGATCTCTCAAAAGCCCTTCACTAAACTTCCATTTCTAGGTAAAGAGAACT